TTTTCCGAGCGAATTTTATTATACGTGTTTTGGGAATTAGAAAAATTATCGGTTTTGGCATTTATCGGTTTTCCGAGCTTTGACTGTAGTTTGTATTATAGTATTAGCCATTACGTAAGACATGTCTAAATGAAAATTCCGAACGTATTTTTTTAATTTTTAGAGAAACTTTAATTCTGCGAGTTATACGGATTTTTTATCCTATATGCAACAAAACACAAGTATACGACTGTAACGCTGTCATAAGCTAAACGATAATTTTTGATGACATCGGAATTATCCAGCAATAATGGTTAATTATGAACACTCTCAACGATTGATGAGGAAATTAGCAGTCGAATAATTCGTTATCCATACTCACGGGATGACTATGTACGTTGTAGTTGAATTACTTTTTCGATAGATTGAATGACGATTGTTGAATCGTTTTGTTGTATATAACCGTATCGTAATCGAAAGTCTGTTCGTAATATAGTAATCCTCTTCAAGGTCACTGTAACAAAACTCCCACCGCCTGTCTACAGTGATCTGCAAAAAATACCATATATAACATGTAGTGATTTCGTCAGATCTGAGTTCTGAACTGAGGGGGTAACTTTTGTACTTGGTACACCGTAGAATATAGCATCATATTTGTTCACCATAAAATTTTTAGAAAATGTCTCGTTAATATTAAACATAGCCTTTGTGTTGTAAATGTATTTATGCAATAACGCACAGGGTGAACAAATTTGACCTTAGGATTTCTCGTTAGATACCCAATTCTTAATTTGGTTTGTATGCTACTCAACCTGTGCAGCCATCAATTGAACGTTAGGGAATCGTTAACTTACACGAGTACCCAAAGACCAAACAATGTTACTGGGTAGGTCGACTAACATTTCCAAAATTGAGACAGGCACCTCCCTAATTGAAGCACACATCCTTTTTGTTTATGCGTTGGATTAAAGTTAAGCATTAGTTACGGATGGCTATTTTTTGTATATCGAGCAGTCGTTAACGACGTATGCATCCAATAATCGTAAATTTGTTTCTACATTATAGCTGTTTTCGTTAGCTTCTAATAATAATTGTTTATGGGGTTGCGCATGTCAACATTGAATTTATCATTTGACATTCAATTTTTAATTTGTGATAATCTGACGGATTTTGAGCGGACGAATAGCCATATTAAAGTAGAATCCTTTATGCATGCATCCCTGGAAAAAAACCGCTTTCTTGTTCAACTTAAAATTTATGTTTTTTTTTGAACGCTAGTACATAATATGTGTTAGCAGTTCTGAGTACGGAATTTCAGATACGAATAAATTCTGATTGTCAGGTGTATTCAATCACTTTAACTTGATTGCTCAAATCTGTTGCATGCTTAAAGCTAAAGATATACCATTCGTATTCGTTCTTCACTATTTTTCTCTATTCCCACCCCGATAAATGTGGTTATTTTTAGATATTTGTCTTATTAAGCGCTCTTAAAATACGGTAACATGAGATTGCGGGGCGAGCTTTATTCAAATAAGTGTTGTCTATTTGGCTTGAATCGAGAATGAAATAAGGACTATTGACCGATTCTATTTATAGATTGCCTTTACCTGTAACACTTGCGTAACACATTGAAGGGTTTGTTTGCGCTCTCACATGTCCTTGGCATCATGTAACGCATATGCTTACCAGCATCAGGGCTAAAAAGGAAAATTACACTAAGCAAATCTGTCGAGCCGCAGTTAGTCAATCAACTGATCGATTAACGTACAATTTAGGAATACACACGATATATAGACAAAAGTTATTCCTCATTTCTCTATAAATAGAGACAGATTGCAGTTTGAAAGAAATATCGACCATCATATCAATTCTCTTTATTTATCGTAACAAAATGGTCACGTCTACTACATTATTTACGTTTCTCATTTTAATTCTCACGACGATCGTCTTCGTCAATGCCGACACAAGCGAGGCCGACGTAACTGCCATACTGATAAGCAATACCCAATTTTGCATTTTCCTTCCACCAGCACCTGGCGAATACATTTCTGACAGTGAAAAGACTGCCCTCGCATTTTGCACACCCGGCACACCCACTTCAGTCAGAGATCTTCCCGATGGATTCATTATTTCGGCTAACTTTGGTGGTGATTCTTCTACTTACGTCCAAATTACTGGAAAAATGAATCCAGATGCGTACCAGTTGCATCATGATGACGATGGTGGCCAGTATGATAGTGCTGGTTCTCCTCCAAATGCAAGTTGTGCTGGATACGAACATTTTGTAAATTTGGTTGAGCCAAACAACGGAAACTACTGTATCCGCTGCTGCCATTATAAATCGGATTGTCCCACTAACAAAAGCACCGAGGGTTGTGAAAAAGTCATTCCTGGCCCCCCATACTAGAGGAAAAGAACATTTATTATTTAATATTAATTTTAGGAATTTGTTTATCTCAGTGAGTTTCGATACATTATTGTCAAACTTAATAGGTTGGTGTATATCCGCATAGCATAGCATTTATTCTCGCGTTTAGCATATAATATAATTTCACGCTCATGTATTTGTACTATTAAATTTGTAATAATATTCTAGATATAACATTGATAAATTATTGCAAGGTTTTAATCCCGGAAAAGTTTTTGTCCACCCTGACGGATTGATAACAGTACATATCCAAAAAGACGTATTAATGAAATAACGTTTACAAATATAGAATTACTACTTAACAGCAAGGCTCGACAAAATGGATCAGGAAGAAATAGATAATGCCTTAAGTAGTATTGTAACTAGCCATTACGAATTGGCAAACTTGAAAAGCAGAATATGTTACTTGATCGTTTGAGACAATCGCATGTTATTAGATGATCGATAATAGGCCAAACTAAATAACGCTAATCGTTTTTTGAGGCAATTGATGAGAAATAGTACTTGTGACAAGGGTTGACTTTACCTCTGCATTAGACAGTAACGTTTCTTCAAAGTGAAAAGTTTTTGCAATCAGAGCTCTATATACATTGCTTAAATGTTTATGGCTTTATTTACCAATAAATACAACATAGCACCATTTCTCCCGCCCCAAACTTTGCGCAAAGGATGGAGCGGATGAAACAGTTTGTATACAATAATATTACAAAGTTGCCAAAACCGCAGCCAGAGTTAAACATATACACAGTAAGCCTCACAATATAATCAACAACCACAACACCAAACAATAATGTATAATATATAATTAACCTTCACAACAGCGATAATCGATTGGTGGTTACAGATTACCGAGTTACTATTTCAAGATACTTATAATCAGCCTTAAGCTTTGCTTCAATTGATGCAATAGCACTATAATAACGTGTTCTATCAGACTCATTTCGAGCCGTCCTAGATGCGAGCTGATAATACTTGATAGCTTCCTGCAAGTTAACGTCTGTGCCAATTCCTCTCTCATAACAATTGCCCAGATTTTCATATGCGACATCAATATCAAATTCGCATGCCTCCATAAACAGACTAATGGCTCTCCGTTCGTCTTTCGTAATACCTCCTTGACCATATAGAAGACGCACACCAAATTCACACTTTGCGATAGGATTGCCCAATTCAACTGCCCTCACAAGACAGTTTATTGCTTCAGATTCACTTTTCGTCACCCCTTTTCCGCGAGCATACCAACTCGAGAGCTTGCACAGGGCGGTCGAATCGCCCTGATCTGCTATTTCCTTTAATATTGTGAATGCCTGCTTTTCGTCTCCTGCGGACGCATAAATGTCGGCTAGATTGTATATTGCTGGTGTAAATCCTTGGTCGGCTGACCTACTGTAAAACTTTATGACCATTTCGAGCTTCCCAAAAGCACCATAATTTGTTTGAAAACAACGTCCAATCGAATATAATCCTAAATAATTATTTGCGTTGGCCGATTCTTTGTAATAGTCATACGCATCTATTTCATCCTCCTCAGTACCTAAGCCGTACTGGTACATGAAACCGAGTAGCCATCGAATACTGGAATCCTGTTTGTCCGAGTCGTTTTTAGCAGAATTTACCTTGTACTTATCTAATAGTTTCGCTATTTCACTAATCTCGTGGTTGTTGGTTTTCATCCATATTAGAAGAGACGCACCAATGTGGTCAATGTGTTTGCCGAGTATCAATTCATTTCTTAAGAATGTTATCACTTGTTGAGGTAGTGTTTGGTGCGCTGCAGGTTTTGTCCACTTGATAAACTGGATCTGCTTTTTTTTGGAAATCATTTCCCGAGAAATTAGAGTTGACTGCGATGTTTGCATAGATGGTGTGCGTTCAATCTTCATTCCCTGAGAAAATAGAGTTGACTCTGAACTAGTAGAGTCTGTCCTAGATAAGTAGGTATCTTCCTCTTTTCCTCGATTCAATAATTCTTTCAAGCGATCACACACTACGTCACAGGTCGGCCTTATGTTTGGGTCATCATGCCAACATTCTGAATAAAGTTGCAAATACTCTTCCGGTGTATTAGAGACGGGAGGTTCGCGATGATTCAAAATTCTCCAACTCACAACCTGTATAAACGTTTGACCTTCGTACGGTGGGTTTCCTGTAGAAATTTCCCATAGTACGACACCGAAACTAAATATGTCAGACTTCTTGTCACGAACATATGCAGGGTATTTAATGCACATAGGATCCATATACGCAGGCGTCCCTCCTAAAGCAGTAGCGGTCTGTTCTTCAATAAGTTTAGCGAGACCAAAGTCAGTAATCTTGGCAACACCGCTTTGGATGAGGATATTCCGTGACGACTATAAGCAATAATTTAATAATCAATATAGCGACAACGTTTACACAATGCGTAAGTAATGGGCTTGGCATGATATTCAAGTTATATCTAGAACTAATACAACATACCAGGTCTTTATGTAAAATATTTCGCTCATGAAGGTAGTGCAGGCCTTTAGCAACATCTAATCCGAGCTTATATTTATCAGCCCAACGTAGCTTCGCAAAATGTGTACATAGGTGGTCACGCAGGGTGCATTCGGCATATTCAAAGACCATCGAATATATTCCGTTTTCGCCTAAATTCGTAGTTTAAGTGGTGATTTATAATTGGGTTATTGCTTTTATTGTCAGATATTTACCCTCGCCCAGTCCAAGAAACCGAATAATGTTAGGATGGTCGTGCACTTGTTGATGAGTTTTAACCTTGAAGGGAATTTGACACAACAGGAAAGACAATGAACTTTAATGGGTATTTTATTGTGTAGTCGAAACCAAATATGTTGGTAAACACCAACCTCTCTCACAAATATTGAATAAATTTCCTCTTTCGCTACAGTGGACGGCAATGGAAGTAATTGTTTTATAGCAACGTTTATATCACACTGTTTCACGCTTGCTTTGTAGACTAGAGCATATCCTCCTCTCCCAATCAGATCACGATCTGTTAGGTCTTCGTCTTTATAATAGCGGACATACTTCTGCGTGATGCTGTTCTCTAACCATATTCTGTTTTGTTCGTGGACATTTTGTTCATGGGCATTACCACCACTCATGATCTCAACAGACGGTTCACATCTAACCCCGACAACTTCTATGAAATCTTTTGCGTGACAAATTGTTAGAATCCGTGCCACAAACATCTTTAACGCCACAAATCATGTGGTACGAGAGCTTTTTATGGTATTGCAAAAGGGGGCTCACGGAGGCGAATGTCCGGTGCGTATTATTGTAATATTAATATTACTCTGGTAAGATTGGTTGACAAAAGCCTCACTACTATATTACTACTAATACTACTACTACTACTACTACTACTACATTAATTTATGACAGGCTTCCCATTGATTGTGATGCGAAAGATGGTATTCAAGAT